AGCCGGCTGATGCGGAAACTGTTGAATGGAATGGAACATATCGACAACTTTATCGATGACATCTTGATATACACAGACACCTGGGAGGAACACATGGTTGTGCTCAAAGAATTATTTGCGAGACTTCGAGAGGCGGTACTTACAGCTAGACCAACCAAATGCGCAATCGGATTTTCCAGTTTATCATGTCTTGGACACACTGTCGGAGGCGGAAAGCTGCAGCCCGATGATACCAAGATAAAGGCGATAGAAAATGCAAGAAGACCAGAAACGAAGAAACAGGTGAGGTCTTTTCTAGGGCTTGTTGGTTTCTACCAAAGATTCCTACCGAACTTTGCTGCAATCGCTGTCCCTCTTACAGATCTTACCAAGAAGGGAAGCCCAAATAAAGTGGTATGGAACGATGAACACGACAGAGCCTTTTCTACGCTCAAGACGATGTTGACAGGCAAGCCAGTTCTCAGACTGCCAAATCTACAACAGGAGTTTATTCTCAGAACAGACGCTTCGGAAACCGGATTAGGTGCTGTGCTGTTGCAGGAGGAGAATGGAGAGAAGATGCCGATTGCATACGCCAGTAGGAAACTTCTTCCAAGAGAGAAGAACTACGCAATCATAGAAAAGGAGTGCATGGCGATTGTGTGGGCTGTCCAGAAATTTGAACCTTATATTTACGGTCAGGAGTTCATCCTTGAGACGGACCATCAACCACTGACGTACCTGCATAGATCGAAGACAGCGAACGCAAGGCTTATGCGGTGGGCTCTATTGCTTCAACCGTACAGACTTAAGATTCGTGCAATCAAGGGTTCCGAGAACGTCGGAGCGGACTACCTTAGTAGACTGTAGGAAATACATGCTCCGTGATTGTTGAGAAAGTGTACCACTTTCTTCGGTTGCCGGGGATGTGTCACGTAAGCATGTATATTTTGTATACACTTGGGGTAAGTCACCTTAATGGTAGGGTACCGCTAGGCGGAATTGCGTCACGGGTAGGTGTGCACGGGGTGAGATTCTCATGACAGGTATTGTGTTATTGTTACCGTGCACCCGATATGGATTTATCGGCATTTAGCGTCATGTGAGACAGGCACAGGGGACTCACTGTGGTAAGTAATCTTTATCTCTTTTTCTTTTCTATATTAGTTGGTATTGTTGTTTTGTACCAGCCCATATATCGGGTCAAACAATCTAAGTATCTGTGCGCTCCAGTCAGCCGTGACCATTGTTTATTGTTTGTATGTTGATAACTTTCATTTTTGTTGTTTTCGTACTATAATTGAATATATTATGTTTGTTTTCCTAAATATGCATGTGATATAAACATATTGGAGTGTTGTACATGAAACTGCATAGTCTATGTCATGTTTCGGGTCGATTTTAAAATCTATGGAAGCCCTGATCAATTTATTAGTGCCGAGCGTAGTGCGTACGCGAACGAGTGGAAAAAGTATGGAAGCCTTGAGGTGTCAGTTGGTGTATTTCGTAATTTTGTTTTATTTTGTTTGTAATTTGGAGCCGCACATTATTTCGACGCTAATATGAACGTATTTCAGTATTTTCTAATTATGGTTCATTCTAAAGTTGAATAATTATGGTAAATAATAAGTATTTTGTACCATGTGTTTTGTTAGTATAGTATGGAAGTGTGAGTGGAAATTATAACTATTTGTGTTAATCATTATAGCGTCACATGACGGGTTGGAACATTGATTGAGTCAGGACCAGGCAGGCCTCTCCTTTACATTGCGACCCAAGCGTCAGGACCGACCAGAAGTAACGACTTTCATTCAGGGTCAAGGTCAGCGAGGGAGCATACTTAGTAGTTACACTGCCAGGGTCGGCGACTTGAATTCAGCACTTAATCAGCTGTCATGTCATTGACATAAGTGCGTTGCCTATTATGGTGATACAAGCGTGGAACTGCTTGAGGACGGTGACTCTGGATTGAGTCACGGTGATTCAGAGTATGGAACTCTATTGGGTTTGACAGGAACACTGTTCTGTTTCGTGAGCTAGAAGCTACAGGGACACTTATCATTATTTGGTTTATGAGTGTGTGAGTTAGCGAGTGTGACATCTTTAAATATATAGTTTATTTGTTTCATTGTAAATAAACATTATTGTTATACTGTGATCGGTTCTTCCAGCTTTTTTTTCCCGGATCACCAACCGTCGCTCGTCCCACGTTAACAGACCCCAGCCTCCTGTCCGCCTCAATCAATTTAGAAACAATTATGTTTTCCCAATGATTTTCAATATTTCCTGCCTCCCATTTCTCTGTAAAATTACTCCAGTTACTTTACAGTTTTCATTTTCTATGCAAGGTAAGACTTTCTTACACATCTGAACTTCACATTGTCTTCTTTTACTTTGATGACTTGGGGTTCATGCCTCAAATGCCTTTCTCTTTTTACCTGTACTCTGATCCTCTTCATCAGCTTTAATTGTGCTATTAACATGATTTTCTTTTTGCTTTATTTATTTATTTTTAATTTTTTAAAGTTTTTGTTGAAGTACTTTTTTTCTTTAACTAGTTTTTATTCTGCCTTTCATTGAATATTTTCATACTCCAAAACATTTTTTCAATAGCTTTCAGGGCCGAAAATGCTTGATTAACTTGTAAACTTGCATCACACCTTTGATGGGAACATCCCAACTGTACTTGGATTCTTCTAACTTTTGCTTGAATTTTCTAAACTGGACGCCTCCTTTTATCATTTTTCTCAGCCCTTCTGATTTTAAGTGAAATAACGCAGCACGCAATATACTGACAGACATAACATCAGTGATAAAAGACAGCTTAAGTTTGTCTTCCAAATCTTCCACAAATTTTAAAACAGTATCTTGAGTTAAAGCTAATTTCTAATATTTGTTTTCCAAAATGTTTAACATGAACTGTTTTAATATGACAACCATAATGCTGATCCTGATTCAATGATTGTTCAGACAGCCAATAAATATAAATGTTTAAAATCAACTTAAGTAGCACCATCCCAGAGCTTGACACCCTCACAAGGAAATGTTTATAAACACGTATTCTTCAAAAGTTTTTGAACTTCTGAAACATTACCAGGACAAACAATGAAGGAAACTTTATGCTGTTTTCCTCTCGACAGATGATGTTCTTCAGTATGGTCCGGGTGAAGATATAAATCAACCAATGATTTCTTCTGCCTTACAAAAATTTTACTGTCTCTGTTTTTACATGATAACTGTCACATTTTGAGTTTATAGTTCTGTAATCCCATGTGCTTCCCAATAGTGGGAATAGCTGATATCTGGATGTAATACAATACACTGTAATCGTTGTATATTTTGTATATGGTAGATGTATTCTGCATTTGTGAAACACCTCCTTCATCACTAAGTGAATAAAGGGGAAGTGTGGTGACAACACCGTGTCCCTTCTTGTATAGCCACTTAATTTTTCTTTAATGGAGATAGCCAAGTGATTTAGGATGCCATCTTGAGGGATCCCATATGGAATAGAAACTAATTCATCCCTTGTCTTTCTCTCATCATACCATTTGTCCCAACCTGAATGAAAAGATTTGAATATTAATATCAACTTGGCACACAGTGACATACAAGAGTGCTGTACAGATGACCAGTATATTGCACTCGGACAAATTGATTATCCTCTCCAATAATTTGGACTGGGTATAGCCCCTCTTTCCATGTTGATGCATTTGCATTAGGTGGTCTTTGTCTGGATGCAGGTACACTTATGTCATTCAATTCTCCGAACAAAAACTTATGTAGACAGTAAATGTTAAAGCAACTAAAACATATATTGCAATAATGATATAAATTAATGATTGATTAGATAATGATTTAAAAGCATACACATACATTGTATACCTTGGCCGATTATATATCAATCAATTTCTTAATGGATTTCGGCCTAAATTGGTCAACAAATTAACCAGTAGTAGATATAGATATACAGTAGGAGGTGCTAAACTGATGCATGACCATAGTGACATCACTAATGATGTGCATGAAAGGTCTTATCAAATACTAGATCTATGTATGTAATGTATTACTAGATCTATGTATGTAAAGCACCTGTGCAATTACCATATCAGTGCACACCTACCCCGGCCTTGTGCTCAAAATGTCCAATTTGGATTGATCAACTCTAATAAATCCGATGATGATTCAATAAAACGATCTTAAATCGTAACAGTACTTTCTACAAGGGATTTCACAGTACGCTGTGTATTAGGACTATAAATTTTGAGAAAATCAAATAATCAGGAACATTTTTCCCAATGCACCGTAGAAGATGTCGACTAAGGAAAATAAAAGTTTCCTTTGGCGCTATTTAAGAATGAATTTCTAGAATGTTCTCGTAATGACTTAAAACTAACTTAAAAGATAGTGTTACCAGTGTTTATGAATTCACTTGGTTTCTCCGTCGGTTCCCAGACTTCATATTGCCCATGCTGTTAGAAAAGGTCTTCATCACATGGTACATTAGGAACGATAACTCTGTACTGCGAAAATGGTCAAAGGCGTGGATATTTTTCATATGTTCACAATGAATTTTTCCTTTAGTAATTTTTATGTACTTTATTCCTAAGATTTTATACGTATTAATTCAAGAATTTAAACGAAAAGAACCGTAGTGCACATATTCCAGAATCGTGTGGACCTTGGAATACTATCATATCGTACCACTCATAAGAAGATTCATAAAAGGACAATACATCTGCTTGAGTCTATCATTGACACTCAAGTGAAAAAACCTGATTAATTATTTAGCGTATACTGCTCATACTATACTTATCAATGTCATTCACTGAAGTGGCTTTTGTGCATTGTTTTTCAAAAAGAACAAAAAGGTAAGACAACCTTTTTCATCATGAAATCCATGTAATTTATTGCACCTAATAACGTCAACAAATTAGTAAGAATGACGATAAAACTACATGGAATCAATTGGAAATAACTGAATGAAATGTTCGCGAATGTCCGACTGATATATTCTGATTCTAACCAACTATTGGTTGATATTGGTTTAGTGGAGCTACAAGATATCCCGAGAACGTACAGTATACTTCATCATGACTACCAAATAGTTTAGAAGTTCCTCTCACACTGACGTAAACTTCATCCCCGGCCATGAGTGTAAGAGCAGCAGTATTACTTCCAGCAGAAAAGGAATTTGCGTCAAATGCATAAGCAGATGTGATGTATTTGTAATTGTGGTAAAGATCGAGATATAGAACTTGTCCATTTTGGGAAAGGCCGTGGAATTGAAATATGTAAACTCCATGTATTTTCGCAGTGAAAACGTCCCTATTCATGTCAAAACCGTTCCCAAAGTTTGTGTAGAGGCGATCAAAAGGCACTTTAGAGTAAGCTGGTACATTCGCATCTCGTGTTAATCCAACGGTAAACGCCATTTCTTCAAAATCTACAAGGCAATTTATAGATGATATATTAGTAATACGTTCCATACCGTAAAGTAAGTGATGCTTAGTCGTTTAAAGAATAGCTTGTTATAACAAAAATACAAGGATGAAATTCTGCTATCTAAATGCAAGTTAGCAAGATGAACAGGTATAGAAAAGAAAAGAGGATCAAAGGTTGATATCATGAAGGGATCGTATGTTCAATATTTATGAATATCGGTCAGTATGATCAATTGTTCCATACTGACACATTATTTCAGGTAACGAGAAGTTAATGGCGTACGTATCAGTCATTGCTATTGTTTTTTTTTTTTTTTTTCTTACATTCTTTTTATTCAGTGATAAACAAATAGATACAGAAATATCCTCTCGCAGGAGGGCTCACATTCTTCACTCGCCTTTCACATAACCATTCATCCTAAATACATGTAGCTGTAGCCTGACCTATAGCTATTTGTTTACAGTAGATAAAATAGATATCACATTCATTCCAACAAAGAATTTCGATTTGTTTATAAGTATATAAACATATTAAAATATTAAGACAATAAAAAGACGTATTAAGTATTCATAACTATTTGTTGTATGCGCGTCGCTTGAGTCGAACGCGCCCACGATTATTCCATGCACTAGTATAGGCGCCAACGGTACTTTAACCGGAGCACATGGCTGCATAACGCTGAGCATGACATGGTAAGTCTAGACATTTATTTTGTTTCCAAAACCTCAGTTTATTTGTTAGGGTATTTTTAGTCTATTGAATTCGTTTTTTGTTTATCGTGGCATGATATTTCTGAAGCTCAATTACAGGTAGATCTATATACATTAACAGAAACAGAGTAGCAGGCCTAAGTTTGGTTGAAGCCCGCTTTCTTGCAAATTAGATAATAAGTTATGACTGTCTTATGTAATTTATAGTAATTACAGTGCATTTATTAGTATTAGGTAAAGTAATATTTAATATGAAATGACTTTGTTTCAGGCAGGCTTAACGGTTTGAGGAAGCTATTTTGGAAATGGTCACGTGTTGTTATGTTTACATGCTGTTCGCGGCCATCCGGTTGCATGGACCAAGATAAGACGCACACAGTCATTGATATTGTACCATTAAGTACGGACGCATATGTACAGGACGTCCGCATCAATTTAACATATAATCTATTTCACAAAATTTCTTTGTTGTTAAAATCATCTATACAAAACAATAACATGAATATGGTGAAGAAATGGTCAAACATGTCCAAATTTGTCAGAATTATGCCTACTTGCCTACAGTACATCATAGGGTTAGGTTTGGTTAATGATCTTGTTCTTTGCCATACAGTCACATTAGACAATCATGGGTTAGTGTTAACCGTAACTCATTTCATCATTTCGAAAGAAAATGGTTGCCATCTACATATACTCCTCATTTTCCCATGGTAATTTTTGTTCATGTATTTATTAAAAGCAATTAATTTATTTCTTTTATTTGATGCTTCATGAAACTCGTCTCCAAGTTTTTTTTTTTTGCTTACCAATGCTTACGAAAATTATTTTAAGAGTTATTCCATCATTCAATATGAAAGGGAAACTCAGTAAAGATCATTTATACGTTAGGTATATAATTTATTCACGATCGACGTTGTACCATAAATAAATGAAAACTTGACTTGCCTTAGTTAAATATGGAATCCATATTGAAGAATCTAATTATAAATTATAAAGAGGTAATGCTATTCCGTATTGACTTTTTTGATGTTGCATATTAAACTTGATTCTTATCAGTTAATGTCTTTTCACCTTTTCTACAGTGAATATAGGTCCACTGGAATAATTCAATAGTGAAACAATATGAACACAATTTATGGAGTTTGGCGTGTTTGATACTCATTAGTTTGTCTGTTGGTTCCGATGTTGTATACCTTGTTCTCATTAACTTACTTTCATTGATCAGGGTTTACATGGCGGGTGACGTTGATGACGCTTTCTCTTCCAGAACACCTGATCTTATTATCCTTGTACTTTTTCATGAGTCTCCATGTAAATATTTTTTGTTCATATTTTGCCCTATGTTTTATGGAATTTGGGTCTGGATCCTCATTATGGTGATATGTTGGTATTTTATTTATTTATAGTCGCTACTACATCCTGAATGGAATACATTCCCTAAGAAAGCCTTTTTTGTACTTAAGTAAACAATACACATCTTTCCATATTTTAACTAAAATAACCACAATGCATTCGATTTTAGTTTTGTTTGTTGATAAGTAATATCTATGTTTCCACTGTAAGAATGGACCAATCACAGAAACTTTATCAATGTCTCACAATGTATACTAAATCAGCAAAACATTAACTAAGAGACTATTTATACATTATGATAAAGACGTTTTCCTGAAGCTGTACTGTTGGATAAATACAGTATGCATTTTTCAGTATTTTCAAATTTGTAATTGTTCTAACACAAAAATTAAATACATTCCTCATGTAGTTGCTACATTTTCTTTAGTGCATAGCGTCAGGTTTCTTTAAAGTGATATACTTATACAATCTATTTGCTGACATTTCTGGGTCACTCTAACATTTAAGATATGCTATTGACTGAGGCGTCACCTGGAAAATGAAGAAAATAAGCTAAAATGTCGTAAATTATGAGGATTCAGACATATTTGATAAACCCTGAATCGCTGTAAAAGTTCATCCCGTATCTTTTTACATATTGGATCATAAAAAAACTTAGTACATGTGTTTGTTCTGTACCGCTTCACTATCCCCATTAATCAAAACTTGATACGCAAATTACAGCAATCCTCAAGGACGTAAAGTCCATCAGCAGTGTCTACAACCAGCAACTTCCAAATTATTTATATGTCGGTTTTTTTCCGAAGATTTTTGATGAAATGTTCAACAGTATCATCTTTTACCCGTTTCTGGTGTCTCAGTTCTTGGTAGACTAAGTGACAGGAGTGCTCCGGAAAATGTAGCATACACTCCAGTTGGAGAGCCAAACATTTCAACATCATTTCCTGGTCTCGCTTTGACAGTCACGTGGTCGTTCTGCATCAGATGAAGAATTGCAGTATTGCCCGCATCTCCGTACTCATTTGAAGTAAAGGCGTAGGCGGCCACTACATACTGGTCGTTGTTAAATAACTCTATCCAAATTTTCTACAACGACAATTGTGTATAAGATATAACCATATCTTTCCAGTTTATGATCAAGGTCTACTACAATCTGTAATTATGACTTAAAGGCGTGTTGCTAATGGTGTTAAAATTGTCATTTTGGAAAGGAGAAGTCGAACTTTTATATACATTCATTTTAAGGGAGTTACATAACAGAATATATGTCATCATAATCACTAACACTAGCTTAATACAAATAGGGGTAAAGAACGGCCTGTTTCATTACTCTTAGACCTAATCCAGAAAATATCCTTCATGCCATATCGGGCAGCATGAAAATAAAAAGCTATTAAACCGCGATATACAGAGAAAAACAAATATCGGGGACTTGGAGTCTGCCAGCAGTGTCTACCGTCTGCAATCTCAAGGAATGTACAAAGAAAGCTTACTTGAACAGCTTCGTTTAAAACACATTAATGTGACATACAGTAGATACAAACAGTGTGTTAAATTGCCTCATACTGCTTTTTTTATCCTTTTATGGCTCTTCAGTGATGGTTTGGGCCTTAAATGCTAAACCTAGGAGTCGACAGAGGAAATTCAAAGATGATTCAGCAAATACAGATGCACTTAACGCTATTCCAAAATTATCTGATGTATAAAAATTATGAAATCCATCTAATTAAGGGGCTGCTGCCATTCTCCGTCTAGATTTGGACTTTTCTTTTGATCACTTTTGATATTCTTTAGTCGTCTCCTAGTCTTCAAAATTAATGCCCTTAGCATCAGTGGCGAGTCCTAGAAGGATGAAATAGCTGTATGATGCAGTTAATTCATTGTTAGGCTCTACTGTATCTCACTCTAAATTATGACAAGGTGTTATTCACCTGTGTGTCTTTTTGAACAATCTTCAGAGTTCACAACCATATATTTGTATATTGTCGATAAGTAATTCAATACTAATCATAATTTTATCCTGAGTACCTTTTGTTAGACTGTTATTTCCAGGCAGATGCATTTCAGACTAAGTGTTTTGTAACGTATGCTACAAGCTTTAAGCATAGCATGGAAGTAGACTGAGGGCTTGGTGGTTTGTGTTACTAACATTATTAGCTTCAGACAGTGCATGGAAGTGGAATATGTAAAGCCCCTCATGTGGTGATACGAATTCATGAGTTGTAAAATTGTAGCCTGCTTCGCGGGATCTGTTCATGATGTCAACGTCGAATGGTATATTAGAACCATTAGTGATCGTTTGATGATGGTCCAAACCCACGCTGAATCCAGTAGGGTTATTTCTGTTGAGACTTTCATGCTCTATAAGAAGCAAAATACTGAGTGATATATTTTTATATACAAGGCTTATTCCCATGTGTTTATTTCACTGATATATCTGTAATGACGTTTCAGCAAGAATGCTCACTATCGAAATAAACATTAATAAACATTTGTCTAATATGGTCTTTAGTCCATCTTTGATTATAATAAACAATAAATGACTGAGAAAAAGGAAGACAGAACAATAAATCGGAAAGCCTTTCTAAATACTGTGGATTCATTTATTTTCGTTGGGTTCAATTTTCGTTGTTTCTACAAATTAGACAGTTTCGTGGACTCATAAATTCGTGGATTTTTGGTTCTGTGGGAAAAAAATAAAAACGTTAGAATTTTCTCTTTTTGCTTCCAGTCGAATTTTTTTCTGTTTGTATTAAGGCTATGTTCACAGGAATTAACACTAATGACAAGAATAAAAGAACGTTTTTTTTTCAAGATGGCGTCCTGTGTTTTTATAACGCTGTTTACAACAGTCTCGCATTAATAGCAAACCACAAATCAGTATATATCCTGGCGTGTAATCAATCGGTAATTATCAGAAACAATTGTTTTCAGTGGATAAACATTGTGTGCTGATCAGTCGGTGTACCGCAGTCATATGAAAACACCACGCGTATCGATGGGACCATGTGTGTAAACAGGTGTGTAAACAAGATCTGCATTATTAATAATTATTGTGAACCTGTAGTCGGATAGAAATACGGATCCAATCTTCAATCGACAGGATGGTCCGATCAAGCCTAGTGTCCACAGTGTCGCTAACGACTGCGAAATACTTAGCATCACAATGGGTACTTACCCTTTGTTATGTTTAATAATATATAATTATATATCGTTGACACCAATTTAGCGTATCCATGTCGAGCCTCAGACTACCCGACTCCCGACTAATTACGGGGCTTCTGTCATTACCGGTGGACGTTTCCGGTGTCGGCAAAGATTACTTGGTCAAATTTCAAAATTACTTTAGTAAGTAGTTCATATTTCGTTGTGTTTTTAAATTCGTGGATTTGCTCATCCACGAAAACAACGAAAATTGGACCTTTCTGAATCCACAGTAATGTGGTGTCAAGACTGAAATATAGCAGGATTACATTAACAAAAGTAATGTAATGATAAAAACAAAACAAAACCACAAAGAACCCATCCTGTCTTGGGAAATCGAAAAAAAACATTATTCAACTAAATTTCAATCCGGAAATATCATTAACTATCAATCTTAAAACAAGATTACCAAAAGAGAACACAGAGAACGATGTTTTTTCGCGAATTTTGTCTTTTTCACTCCATTTTTCGAAATACTAATTTATTTTCCATCACTGGCAATGATACAACTTTCGTCAAAAATATATTATATCAAACAGAAAGTTATGGATTTTACAATATTTAGTATGCTATTATAAGATATATCGGTTAAACTGACAAATGAGGAAAAACAAATGTTGAATAAAACTTACCAAAATACCCGGAGTCGATCATAACACCTGTGAATGTTGTGTATATCTGATCTCTTGTTCCGAACATGATATTCTGATACTGATCGTGTGCCTTAATGTAAACCATATCGCCACGACTAAGTTCCAAGATCACAGAGTTGCCTGCATCTGCGTATCCACCAGTGCCGGAGGAGTGAGCATAAGCAGATGCAACTAGATTTCCATTCAGCATAATCTCCAACCATAACTCTGTGTTTACTTTGGTTAGAGAATAAAAGTGAAAAGCATACAGACCTGCTGTATTAGCTGTGAAGACACCGTTTGCATCAATAACTGAGTGTATGTTCGTGATGAGTTTATTGTAGTTGAGGATCTCTCCTTGCGTTAAGTTCATATGAGCAGTCTGACCTTGAGTAAAAGCAACAACTGGGATATAGCCCGTCGAAAAATCCTCTCCATCTAGATAACGATAAAGGTTATCATTAATTAAACATCCTATCATGAAAATATAAAATAAAGCCATATTGAATTTTGAATCAATAATGTTTACCCTCTTGCTCGTATGATAAATGTGAAAGTCCTATATTATTTTTATTCAATGCTATATTACGAGCGATAATTTGAAAATTAAATATGTTCAAATATGTCGGGGTAAAGTAAAGAGAAAATACGTTTATCTGTTTATCTATGATATATCGGAAGATCTATGAAAATTCTTTATGCTCATTTTCTAAAAAAAAAAATCAAAAGCTACAATAAACCATAAAAATGAACAAAACTATTCTGCATACTAGCGTTCACCTTCACAAAGCCAGAGAATATAGATCATGATGACTATCATGAATCTTCCCAATAATTTTCAGCATGATATATCGAAATTTGGTATGTTATAATCTTGAAAATCACGATGATGAGTACAAGCCCGTAGGATATCAAATCAACGTTGACATTTAGACTCGATTATCACAATTATAAGTTCATACATTTCCGTCCATCACATATTATTTAATGTTTTATTGACTTTTACCTGTGACAGATTACTGTAAAAGTCGTAATAACATAATAGACAGGTGTCACAAGACAGTGAAACTAGAACAGAAGTTATAACACAATCGGAAGAGGATTAAGATATAAGTGTCACCTTCATCAGACAAGTGTGACGTATATTCAAGAGAATAGCATGATGCATGGACACGTAGCTGAAGAACCTGTAAAGGGTCGTTTTTCACATCTATACTGTAAGTTTAATGACAACATGTGAACCTAACATTTATAGCTGCTATTCGTTCCAAATAAGGAAAAATAATGCAATAAGTAGATTAGACATCATTAACCTGCTGTTATGTGTGTTATGCTGTTCACAGGTCAATTCTTCCAGAGAGTTCTTTTTCAGCATAAAAGATTTAAATTGATATTCCTGGCCCATGTGTAAAAAATATGATATGTCACAATACCGGTAACGTGCAAATGTATCTGGTAAGGAGTGTAAAACTTCAGTATCCTTTTTTCAAAATGTTGTAAAGTTCAGAAAGAGTGCATGGAAAAATTAGCTACTATTCTTTTATACATAGAGAGTTCATGTGATATGCGAATAGTATGGAAAATCTGGACAAAAAGAGAATTTTCTGAAAGGTTTATTTGTTATTTTTACAGTAAAACCATGCGTTTTTTTACTTATCCGCATTGTGTCTGGTTGGATGTGGATAGTCTGCAGGCCCATATTGATGTAAGTTGACAATCTTCGGAACTATCTAGGCGTTTGTAAGGGTGTTGCTACATTAAACTTGAATGTGGCTTCAAGTTCTTTTGTGACCATTTCGCAATACTAGTCTAATATTCAAGTGGTCTTCTTAAGTTTTCATGATGATTTAGCAATAGTTCAGGTTCAGCTTTTATATTTTGTTCGCTACCTTTCTACATTTCATATAGATAAGAACCATCACTAACTTACTAGATTCAAAATACTTAAAAACCATTATCTATTTATCCTATTTGATATAGTTAATGATAATAATAATAATAATAATAATAATAATAATAATAATAATATCTTTTATTTATGCATATTTAGACAAGTCTAGTTTACAATATGGCCCTGCCGTAAAATATATACACATATCAAAGAAAGATGTTACACTGGATGTTACCGGTACATAAAATACATAAATTATGAATATTAATTAATTATAAGATACAATGAAGAACAAACATTATTACAATACATAATTGGCTAAGATAGATTATAATGTCATCGAAATATTGTAACTGTAAGATACATCAAAACAGGCGTAAAATATATTCAGATATCACAGATATCAATAATTGTTGCAAAGCTAAAATCCAAAATTTTGAGAAGAGCTCCTGTAAATATTTATGTTTGAAAACAGCCACACTACAAGAATTTCTAATATTTTCACTGATACCATTTAGTAAAACCGAGCAAGTATACACAAATGAGCGTTTAAAATACTTTGTTCTAGCTGAAGGAATACAAAATTTGTTCGAAACTGAAGATCTTGTGTTTCTAGAAGTGACATCCCTGACATAGGTAAAAAGACTACACAAGACTCCTGGGGTATCTCCATGTAAAATTTTGAAGGCTAGAGTTGCTTTCCTAAAAGTGTGATATTCTTCAATAGGTAGCCATTTTAAATGTTTAAAAAGAAATTTAGAAGGAGTGAGGACATCTTTCACATTCAATAAAATCCTCGCTGCCCTTTTCTGTAGTGTAGAAATCTTCTAGATATAAGATTTGTTACTAACTTCACACCAAACTACCGAACAATAGATGAAGTGAGGGAAAACTATACTTTGATAAACTTTGGTAAGCACATCGTTTGACATAATTGACATAAATGGCCTTAGCCGTCTAAGTACACCTATCTTCCTTGAAATTTTCTTGGAAATGTAATTAATATGTTCTTTCCAAGATAAACAGTTATCCAAATAAACACCAAGAAGTTTTGCGGATTGTACAGTTTCAATAGATAAGTTGTCTACAGAAATTTTCAGCTCAAGACATTTGGCTAATTTCTGAGCTGATCCAATCAACATACATTGAGTTTTGCTAAGATTAAGACTAAGATTATTATCTCTCATCCACTGGATTGTACATTGAAGATCCTCTGTCATTTTCATTTCTAATGAATCAATTGATTTATCCCTTACACTCTGTGAGGTGTCATCAGCATACATAGTTACTGAGGAATGTTTCAAACATTTGGGATACTCATTTATATTTAAAATAAACAATAGAGGCCCAAGTATCGAGCCTTGAGGCACACCAATACTAATGGGTGAAAAATCAGACATCACACCACTGTAACATACAGCTTGTGATATATTTGATAGATATGTTAAAAGGAACTTAAGTGAAAGAGGAGACACATCATATGCTTTGAGTTTGTGTAAAAGAATGGAGTGATTAACTGTGTCAAATGCCTTACCCAGGTCGATAAAAACAACACCTGTTAAAAATCCTTCATCTATATTTTGTAACCATTTGTCTACTACGCTCACCAGAGCTGTATCTGTGGAATGATGAGGACGAAAACCAAACTGACAGTCACTTAATAATTGATTCTTGGTGAGATAATCATAAAAAGTATTATGTACATGTTTCTCCAATATCTTACTGAGAACACATAATACAGACATAGGTATGTAATTATTGACTAGGGTAGGGTCACCAGCTTTAAAAATAGGTGTGACCTTGGCCTTCTTCCATTCAGAAGGGAAACACCTTTAGATATAGACATATTATACAGAAATGTTAAAGGTGATACAATAGAATCACCTGCTAATTTCAACAGCTTAACAGAAATACCATCAATTCCTGTCGCTTTACCAGCAGCCATTTGCTTGATTTCGGTAAGAACAAAATCTGGTGTTATACTTGGAATAACATAACGATTACCAGAAACAAAACTGTCTACTTTTGGTAAACTATCATCAAAAGTTTTACCTATTTCTGAACCAATGTTACAGAAAAAAGTGTTAAACGCGTTAGCAACATCTACCTTATCAGAAATAGTAGTACGATCCATACTTAAATTAACAGTGGAGGAGGATTTTTTACTAGGTAAAAATTCCTTGATCTTTTTCCACATTCCTTTGGAGTATTTGGAACACTGCAGGATGGATTCATCTAAGTAATTCTGCTTAGCTTACCTAATTTTAAGAAGTACCCTGTTTCTACAAGCTCTATACAATGACCAATCAGATTCTAAATTAGAACTTTTTGCTTTGTTATGTAAATAAACACAATTGTGCATTTCCTTGAGAACATCATCATTAATCCATTGGGCTGAATTTGATTTAACCCGTTTTTCACAAATGGGTGCATGTCTGTAAATAACAATAAGGAAAAGATCTTTAAATGCAGCCAAAACATCGTCTATATCATCAAATGCCTCAATGGAACTCCACATTTTAAATCAACAACCAAGTTCTTCAAATTAACATCCTTAAACTTGCGGAAATGTACAGTTTTATGAGACTTAGAGGACCACCCCTTAATTTACGAATGATATATACAAGGTGATGGTCACTACAGCCCAAAGGAATGACATCCGACTCCACACGTCCAAGAGAGTCTAAGACTGATGTGATCGATGAGATTTCTTTGTTACAAGCGTGGGTGTGGTGATCTGCTGATGTAGGTTATGTAGTGCCATTAAGTCTTTCATTCTGGATGATGAAGTCCATCTACATTAAAATCTCCCAACACAAGTAAGTTATTGTTTATCAGGGATAATGACTGCATAACAGAGTCAAATCGGTCATACCAGTCGACGAGTTCACTCGGAGGCCTATACACAGTAATACACATTATTGGAGAGGAGTTATTCGGCCTTAAAAGAACTGGTAAGAGTTCCAAACTAGTATCACAATTCAGCTGAGGAGAATATATCACGGACATAAGTAACGACTCCCCCTCCACGTCTGTTACGATCTTTACGAAAGACGTTGTATCCAGGAACAGAAAGTTCACCATCATCAATAGTTTCATCAAGATGACTTTCACTTATGGTTAAAACGTCAAAGGTATGGTTCCACAGTAAAATTCTAATGTGGTCCAGTTTGTTAGAAGACCTCTGACATTCAGGTGAGCTATTCTTAGACCAAGAGGCAAATTCTGGACCATGATTATATTTTTTGTCAGCTATTAGGAATTTTCACACAAATGTTTATTTTAAAGTTTTGATTTTTGTAGATAATATTAACTGATTTTCAAGTTGTACCGAGTTCTAGAAATGTTTCTCAATTTTTCATGATTTAGTTTTCACTGAATCCAACAATCTTTTATGATGATCCTTGTTATATGTCTGCCGAATTCATCTGACGTGGCAAACAGCCAACAAAAGAAAATACACTTAACCATCCGAATAACCTTATCTTATTCCACTTCTGCTTTCTTCAATAACCTGTGTAAACTTATTCCTAAGTTTTGCATTTTCTTCCTGTCGTTGCTTAGGGAACATTTGAGCAGATAGGCCCAGATGATTTCATTTACATGGATACAATGCTCAAGTGTAAACAAAGTAAAAAAAAAACATAAATTGACATGAACATTCAATGGAAAGTGGGAACTCCTGGTGCACACTAGATATACATGGATATTCACATGAAGTAGAGGATTAAGACAATAACAATCTTCGAGCTTAATCTCAAACTTACCTGTTCCTAAAATGGAAACGACAATGGCGAAGAATAATAAAACGACCCCCATTACAATGTCTGTGTGGTAATGTACCTCAACTCCAGTCACTATCTGAACTCCAGCCTTACGTGTTGGTGCCATATGTAGTGATTCCCATACGTCCAAATTATCATACGTAGTCAGTCATAAACACGATGTGATTATATCAGCTGGTCGTAACATATTTGTTTTTATTAAATAGAGTTTAAGGATACATTCATCTGAGAATATAAAAAAAATCCAGTGTTTCTTCTGATGTTTTGATAGATTTAAAATATGTATAAATATTTTAAAGCAAAAGGCAAAAAATCAATACGTTGCTACTCTTCTTTTCAGATACATCAGAATTTACATATGTGAATCTGTTTTCAACGAGTCAACACAAACGGAATATTTTGAAAAAAAACCAGTACCTGGTGTGGGCACCCCTTGCACGAATCCCTGTACAGATTCTCCTATGCATTAAATTCATGAGATCATTAATTCGCCTAAAGGGAATGTTATTCCATTTTTGTGTTAATGCTGCGATCAACTGGGCGCGGTTAGTTTGCGGATAATTGACGGTTCCTAACACACCTGTCCAGCTCATCCCACAGATGCTCTATGGGAGACCTATTCCAGAGGCTGAACGTTGTTTGCCGTGAGAAAATCACGACAGACTCTGGCAATATTCGGTCCATGGGCGATGCTTCCCCAAACCCAAACCATTACATAAGCTCCACCAAATCTATCGTCGTTGAAACGCTCACCCCGTCTACGATTCACCCTTTTTCCTCCGTCTGAGCGATACAGACAGAATCTAGACTCGTCGGTGAACCTCACACGTCTCCACCGACGCATCACAAACATATTTGGGCCATGTCTGCGCATCCGTACTTGCCGCCACCGTGATGTCAGATGTGGCCCACAATGATTATCTCGGTGCGTATGAGGTTCCTGGCAGTTTGAGCACTAATGGGTCTGCTATGAGTACCTACGGAATGCGACGTAGTCTCTACAACAGTCTTGAATCTGTTGCGCAAGTGCGACAATCGAATAGCCTTGTCTTGCCGTGCGGTCGTTACCGACGAAAAAGCTATATTATAGAACAGTTAACGTGACCAACTATAACATATCGCAGAATTCTTTAGTGAATGTACCACAATATCAAATTTCTTACTAACCAAAACGGATTATCTATGGACACCCCCTACCCCCGCCCCCACCTCACTCAACCCCTAGTAAACACTACAATACATAATATTTTAATTTCTACCCAAATCAGACTCAATGAAACTACTAAATGTGATATATTTAATTTACCAATGAATTTGACCAGATTAACATTGCAAGCGCGTATGAATACAAATATAAGGTAAGGGAAGAAAACTCCCCAACTTCTACTAGACTGGCTATATATCACAAGTATGAAATTTAAATACATCAAAATGAAAACCATTAATATTTTTTTAATGTGTGTGCTAGGTCATTTTTGTAATTACTAAATATAATTCAGCATTTAATAACTAACTTTACGTTTCAAAAGATGTGAAGCGATTGAAGCCTGATATTTCTTGCTCTCTGCTTCGGTGCCTGTAAAAAAATGGCCGACACCGCTTCGTTTGCGAACCGGCGCACCACGTCTAGACGTTATTCCCCCGCGGGGAAAAAGGCATACTTTCTTTGTTGCACACTAATATTTAAATTTTCATTAAAGTTGTCGAAAAATATATTAAATTTTGTTCTTATTTAAGTTCCATCGAATATTAAGTAACCACGCTGAAATATATTTCAACCTGTCACAATAATGACTTCAAATGACGGACTATTTGCTTGTATGACAGTGGAACTTACATATTACTTGGGCATTTCATTACCTCCTACATATGATATATGAAAGTTAGGGTATGTATATATATGAATACTGACAAAACGTTTGCATGTGTTTATATCTTTGGATATATATTGTGGGTAAAGCACTGATCAAACTTGTACCACTTCCTTAATTCGTATGGCTACAATAAATAAATAAATAGGGTGGTTCAAAATATACAAAATAAAAAGAAGACATATTTTTACTTGTTTTGTTCATAACTTTTGCGTCCTTACCTTCCTTGTCAATATGTCTGGAGAAATGATATCACCATGGCTATATCACCCTTACACTTAAGTAAGCGACTATGATGATGTACTAAATTTTTGCTCCTGGAGAGAACTATGCATATAGTATATAGTTTTATTCCTCTGCAGAAAAAATATATATTCTTTATCCTTACCAAGTTTTATATTGATTTTTCAACCAAAATTGCATCTGAACTATGTGCATGTTGAGCTAAATGTCGAAAGGTTCTGGGACATTTTTTGATCCGTGTACATTGGCAAATTATATTGCAAATGTAATGTTGAAATCATCTGTTTTGAACAAGAGAGGGAACCCAACATTGAATTACCTTTAGATATGAAACTGATCTTTGCTGTTCTTTTCTGTTTTGATCTGAAATATCTCCAGTACCAGTCAGGCAGCTCTATCTGATTCTTGGGACAAACATGGAATACTAAAGACCAATGAAAACGACGGATAGTCCAAACTTTCCTCACTCTCACGGAGAACATTACCATGGCCCTAAAAAGGAGGCCCCACCGCATAGTTCGGGGTTTTGGGGTTCCAAGTTTGCTTTGACGTCACCAGCATTACATGGTAGAGCCAGAATATTCGTGGGTTCCTGCCAAGCTGCAGGTAGTTTTAATAAAATGGGGTTTTTTTTGTGTGTATCATTTTCTTTATTTTTTTTTTTTTTTATTTCATTATTTTGAAAAAAAATATTCCTAGTGTTTTAATACTTTTTAAATTAAATATCAATTAAATTTCACATTAATTATTCTATTGAATATTTCAAATAAATTGTCATTTTGCTGTTTAATTAACTGATTGATGAAACATTTGTGCTGTTTCCCGCCAGGAGTCGAACCTGAGCCTCTTGTCACACAGTGACAAGCGTGATGACCGCTTCACTACAGAATGTATAATAGCACTACTAGTTTTACAATTCCATGTATTGTTAATTTAAAAGTTATAAACATTTTCCCTCTGCTTTTACAAGGGCTTGGGACCTTCTAGCTTTACAGCTAGGCAGCATTAAAAATATTTCTATTACAGTCTTTTTTTTTCGTCAGTCTTGCCACACAGTCACACAAACACTTCAGAATCACTTTGACTTCTTGCTGGAGTATCCTCTGGATTTCATGTCTTGCTTCCACTCATCAAAATTCATTTGGGCTGTAAGGGGGCAAAACCAATTTCCATAAAACTGTTTATGAGTGTCGCTGTCCCTCACCTTTCCACATTTTCTGCAGTGTACTTCGTTCTTTCGCACATACCGATGCACCACCCTTCCCTTGTCCACTTCTTGCTAATAACGCTTGTAGTAG